AGCCTATTATTACATGGGGCTTCGGGTCAAAAACTGGAGGGTTGGCAACACTAGTTGTTATGTCAAGTTTTTCTCAATACCATTGATAGCCAGCCCCATGTAATAATAGGCTACTTATTAATAGCCGCTATTTGAGTGCTCAATTAATATTCACTATTTTTTCTCGATTTGTTTGTTTGCGTTTGCATTTTATAAATAATACATACAATGCAAACACAACACCAAACATCTCGTACACGACTATATTGGAGGCGAATGCGATTTAAACGCAAACTTTTCCTTTAGGTTGTAGTTTTGCAAATCGTTTAGTGTGTGATTGCAATGAGTGGTAATGAAGTCGAAAATGAATGAATGCATCGAAAAATATGCCAATATATCAGTCCAAAGGCTGTGCCAATCGATTGCAATCACATACACACACATAGAGTACAGTAGATATATATAAGTCACTATCATATCATTGGATGAGTAACTCATGAGTTGCTGTTTAAATAGTTTCTCTCAATGCAGACATTAGTAGCTGCGGTGGTAGTGATTAGGGATAAACTCCTCGAGATTTTAAGGCTTACTATTGACTAAGTAGTGATTTTTGTGGTGATTTTTTGTTGGCCGAAATTTTTGTATTTAAAGTGCAGTTTCTCTCTCTCAAGGATGGGAATGACAGACAATTTGTTTGCACCACTACTATATGCCATGTATATCAAACTTATAGAGACATACACACAGTTTCCCTATGGATGTGAACCTACTTTTTTCCACCGATAAGGGGGTTTTGATACACAAAAACAGCCACTACTTTGACTCGACAACGATATGAATCATAGGATAATCGGATTTAATTATTTTTGGTTGTAATTAGTATTATTTCCCATACAATAGGCTATAATAAGTCTCTATTAGTTAGGTATTAGTGCCCGTAATATAAGTATAGCGAGGAGTCGGTCTGTATTGCATAGCAAATAATAAGTCGATAGAAAGTGTAGTGTTTTTTACAAGTAGTGTTTTAAATGCTTTATTAAAATGCAAATTACAAAACAAAAAGCAATTATTAAATCTGGCTTATAAACAAGCTAAATGCATAACATTTTTTTGGTTTCACGTATACTGTATAACTTTATATGCATTTCACAGTTACTGGTGGTGGCAGTGAATCAAACATTATTACATCAAAAAAACTATCAGTGAAATTGGCGAGACTGGCGTTTCGGGGTGTTCAAGGTGTTCAGGGTATTGCCGGACTACCGGTGCGCACAATTCAGGGCTAAGGTTGATGGAGAGGCTGGTGGTATTCGCCCCAAAAAACCTACCGATACTCCCATACTGGCAGTGAATGTGCTGTGATTTCTACCCTCATTTGCACAACAGTTTTGTCGCTGACTCTCGAGTTTGTCATTCATTTAACATTACTAGTCGTGTATTGACTGCACTGTGTGTATGTGTAATATAGGGGGAACTGGAGGTCGTATTTCTGGGGCGATTCACGTATACACTACACACACACACACTCTCGCATACAGACAGCCCTCACATACACACCACACATAAGGCGACGATTTTTCCTGCAATAAGTAAATCTCATTTCAGTCTCTCATTTGATTTTCTCTCATTACGTTCTGAAAGACACTAAACGACTGACAAAACATACATATTGTCTGCGGTTTGTGTCTCACTCGACACCCCATCCATTGACTTCATGTCTTCATGACTTCAGTCGCCATTTCATAACCAAATCAATCGCTTTTTTAAATAATAAGAAATCAATTTATATATTATATACAGTATATTATATTCATATATATCTATCACTCACTACTCGCTATCGCAATCGACACTCAAATCATATGTTACAGTGATATGCGAAACGCAAATCTCCATTGAAAATCAAACCATTCATTTAATTTATATAGTTTTTCGGCAAATGTGAGTAGAGACATTTTATATATATTGTGCTTGTTTGCGGGACCCACTTATCATACGGTATACCATCGACAACCCCCTCCCGGAGATCATCCATTTTACTAGTTTTTTGTTGGCTCTCACTCTACATATACTCGTCGCCCGTAATAATCATAATCATAATAATTGTGTTTAAAAAGTATATATACATAGAAATTGTGTGCATTTTTCTCGTACAGCGATTGCATTGACTTTTTTCCCTATCATTTGGTTTTTATTGTAAAAAACATTGCGTTCAATACCAACACAACTGTGTGTATGGTATGAGACGACAGCAGCACACCATCGCCTACCACCACCTCTACCACTACTACCACCTCATTATATTGATGTGCTAATCATAGTTTCAAAATTGACCAGTTTATTTACTACCCCCTCAAACGTCTAGTCACTAACACTCATCCGGGACACTAAACTGTTGTGTAAGTGTTAATCAGTTTTTTTGGTCGTATATCTGTTTATATACTCTGTCTGTCGCTGTATTAAGCGGTGATAAACCACTGTTTGCGGGCCAATCACACAGTGGCCAGTAATAAAAAGTGCATACATTATACTAAATCAATTGTCAACTAATTGCTGGCTAACTGCGATCGGCGATTAGTATACGGTGTCTGTGATAGTTGTATACATCTCTGGCATACTCTTTGGGGAAAGGGAGAGTGTGTTGTTTGTGGGCCGACCCCAGTACCAGTGGTGAGCACCGCCCCCAACAATGCTAATGGCGTACGACGCCAGGAGTGGTGACGTCCACAATATGTTAATGGCGTATGACGTCAGGAGATCGTCGTATTGTGGGGAGACCTACAGTGGACTGCCCGACAACATGGCTGCCGCAGGTGTAGGTGCGAACAATGGTCAGAGCTATCACTTCAAGATACTGGTGCCGGCGGTGGCCGCGGGCGCCATCATCGGCAAGGGCGGCGAGACTATTGCTCAGCTCCAAAAGGACACCAACGCCAGGGTGAAGATGTCCAAGGCTAACGACTTCTACCCGGGTATGTGTGGTTGGCATAAATGCCTGTCCCCTATCTCCCTGTGCGCTCCCATCGTCAGCACCAGCAGTATGTGTGGTGTGAGATGTGGTGCGGACTACCCATTGATGTCTACTCTGATTGAGTGCATCCATGCATTGAATGCGTGTATAATGTTGTGTGTGTTGTCTCTCTCTCGCCCTCTTAGGCACCACCGAAAGGGTGTGTCTGATCTCCGGCTCCGTCGATGGTGTGCTCCGAATACATGAGTTCATAATGGAGAAGATCAAAGAGAAACCGGATCCCAACGCCAAGATTGCCATCGACTTCGACCACAAACAGCCGGCGGAACGCGAGAAACAGGTAAACCCCTATTGAGAGAGCGCCTGTCACTCATTGTGTTGTGTTTGACACTTCGCACACTACCGGTGCCCTTAACCCCATACTGAGCGCCTCTAACGCGTTGTACGCTTTGCCCAAATCAGGTGAAAATACTGGTGCCCAACAGTACGGCCGGTATGATCATCGGGAAGGGCGGTTCGTTCATTAAGCAAATCAAGGAGGAGTCGGGCGCCTACGTGCAGATCTCGCAGAAGTCTCGGGACCACGCGTTGGCCGAGCGGTGCATTACAGTGATCGGTGAGATCGAGAACAACAAGAAGGCGTGCGCTATGATCGTGGCGAAGGTCGTGGAGGACCCCCAGTCGGGCTCCTGTCTGAACGTGTCGTACGCCGACGTGACGGGTCCGGTGGCCAACTTCAACCCGACGGGCTCGCCCTACGCCAACGCCGGCAACTCGTCAGGCGGCAACTCCGCGGTGACCAACAGTAACCCCTCGTACTCGTCGAACGGGTCGCTCAACAGCCTGTCCCCCACGCTGACCAACTCGTTCAACTCGCCGCAGTCCGCCGGCACGCCCGGCAACATCATGCAGTTCAGCACCGGCGCCATGGGCCTGAATCCCGGCGCCATGTCGTCCGGGAATCCTCAACAAATGATTGAGTCGTTGCGAGCGATGCTCAGGTCGTGCGGCTATAACGAGGACGCCGTGGCCGAGATTTGCTCGGCGATGAACACACTGGCCAACTACGGCATGTTGGGGCTGGGCCTCGGGCTGGGAGGCATGTTTAACTCGGTGAACGGCGCCCCCATGATCGGGGGCCTGTCGATGGGCATGACGGGTACGCCGGGCGGCAACTGCGGCCCCATTCAAATGGGAGGCGTCCCATCGCCACAAAGTGCAACTTTATACACATCTCAGGCACAGGGAGTGCCCGGACTCGACCAACAGGCCTGCAATAACGTGACGCAAACGCAGGGCGGCGGCCCCGGTTCGGGCGGCAACGGTATGTTCGGTCCCGTTGGCTCCGTGGGCTCCGGCATGTCGGGCATGGGTATGAGTCACGGCGGTTTTGGGTCGCCCACCGGCCAGGGAGGCGGCGGTGGCGGCCGTCAGGACAGACTGCAAATGCCGGGCGACGTGCAGTTCGACCCCTTCCGGCGCTCGTCGCCATCGCTCGGGTCGCCGGTGACGGGGGGTTCACTGCCGCCCATCAACAACAACTCGTTCGGCTTGGGAACGGGTCTCAACAGCCCGGGCTCTCTGCGCAAGAGTCCCACACCCGGCGCCGGTGGGGATCAGTCAGAAAACGGCGGCGGAGTGGGCGTCGGCGGCGCCAAGATTGAGGTGGAGATCGGGGACAATATTGTCGGTGCAATCCTAGGCCACGGCGGCAAGTCGTTGGTGGAGATCCAGCGGCTGTCCGGAGCCAACATCCAGATCAGCAAGAAGGGCATCTTCGTGCCGGGCACTCGCAATCGCATCGTCACCATCACGGGGTCGGCGCACGCCGTCCAGACGGCTCAGTACCTCATCGAACAGCAGATCAACGACGAGGAGAACAAGAGGGCGCGACAGAACGCCACACTCGGCACTGTCCTACGCTAGTGTGTCGGTGCCCAACCCACGTGTGCCCCGGTACGTGTGTGTGCGTGCGTGTCTCTCTGCTCTATACCCATCCTTTCCCATACCTCCCATTCCCCGCCCCCTTCCCTCTCTCTTTACGATTCAGTTTCAGTCGATACTCTCTCTGTTTGTCTATCTCTCTTACTCTCTCTTACTCTCTTACTCCCCCCTCCCGGCGCTCATCACCACCACCACCACTATCACACCATAGCCACCAAAACTAAACGATATATGAAAATCACTTATTGATAAATATTCGAAGGAAAGGGTGTTTTTTAAAAAACAAAACTTCATTATTAGTTAATTAATTGTATATTAATTGGTATTTTAAAAAGACTTATATTTGCTTTACGTGTGATTCGACTGCCGATTAATGTCTCTCAACAAAAAACATGAAAACAAATCTAAAAACACAAACCGTTTTTAAAATGGAGATAAAAATCATTGTTTTATTCGCCGCAAAAACGTCGGATTTGATTAATATAAAGTTATTTACATTGATTATCAAATTATTTTAGAAATCAAAATTAATTTAATATATATTATGATGATGATGGAAATACAAATTTAATTATTACTCTAATGATAAATGACTGTTAAAACAAAACTCTTATGTTATAGTGTTTTCTGCTTATTATTATTATTAATTATTATTATTATTATTATTATTATTATTATTACAAGAAAAATATATATAATATCTTATATAATATATGAATTTAACTAATTGTGCAAACAACTTCTACTAACTGATTTGTACACGTAATGTTTAATTAATTTTTAAAAATTTAAATTAATTGCTTAAGATGATAAACTCCTAATAGGTTTTTTCTAATGGTTTTATGACAAACAAATTTAGGGTCGCTTTTTCAAAATACATTGTTGATTTCAAATGACTAAATAATACATTACATTCTCACCGTTATATACAGTACATTGAAATATGAAAAAATTCACTAAATTTATATATTAATTATAAAAAAAGAAATACATTATCACTGATTAATTAATTATATAAAAAACGACAACAAACTAAATAATGAGAACAATTAAAAAATATATATAAACTATAATTATTTGAATATAATATGATTTTTCTGGGTATATATATTATATACGATACTGTGATAGACGTCAAAACATATATGATTTGTTTTTTTATTTGCTACACATTTCAATCATTATTATTTGGAGTGAAGGGAATGAATGATATTTCGAAATAACATTAATAACGAACTTATTATTAAAAAAAATCACAATTTGTTTGACTAATTATTTTTCTCAAAAACCAACAAACAATATATCGCTTTGTAATAAGCATTTTCTTATATAATCATAATCTCTCTCTCTCTCTCTCTCTCTGCGAAATTAACTTTTTAATTGTCAATCCGTTTCACATGTATTTGGCCGACACTTGCGATTAGAGAAAAAACTATTTTCTGTCTCTCATATGAAACTAATGCCAAACATTGAAATGCTTTCATAATCGCGAGATAAACATCGAAACACTTGAATGCGATTTCAGCCAAATTCTCGCTCCCTTTCCCTCAGCCCATCGCATGCCATACTGTCTACCCGTCCCCTCCCCTGTGTCTGCGGCGCACCCCCGCATCATATGATAGCTGTTTGTCTAACAAAAGTTTTTTTTGATAATTAAAATCCACGCAAACGTATGGTAGGCATAAGCGCTAGATTTAGCTAGTATGTATTTTTTGCTATTAATAATAATTAGTGTGAATGGAGCCTGTTCATTGGAAATGCATTGATTGGTGTGAGAGAGGTAAGTCTGTGCGCTAGCTATAAAAAAATGTATTTCCAAAGCCAATTGTCTGACAGTAGGCCTATTAATACCGCAAACATATGGTTTGTGTGCGAAAAGTATTGTGCACTCAATCGGCGACTCAAATGATTGATACGTTGTTTACATAATCCGTGCGATGAGTGGATGAGTCTGACGATCGGCACTACGGAGAGCACCCCTCCCGACGAGTCGAGTGCACAACACGTGTAGCGGTAGTGAAGCGGCAATGAGTCGCCGCATACGCGACGCACGTGTGTGCGCCTACACGGGGCGGGACTGAAGGTGCCTTTTAATGGGTGTCGTGCGCATGCGCGTGTCAGTGTAGTACACTCCCCATTGAAGGGTCTATTTTTATGAATGAAATACAATATACAGCTCTCACATGGGGGCCATGCGTTCAGTGCGTGGAGTGTGTGTGTTATGTAACGAGTGGTGTAATGGTTGTGCAATACCTGTCCATACGTTTACTATGGGGTTGGCGTTTAGGTAGGGTTTGTATTGTGTGTTAGTTAGCGATTAGATATGCATTAAATGTATGATTTTATATGAGTTTTACGATAGAAATGAGTTGTTTTTGTAGTGTTTTTAGCGTTTGTTTTGCAGTGACCTTACGAGTGATGTCTAGTCGCGAGCAATAGGTATATAAAAGCGCTGATAGTTTTGAACACAATTT